TAAAACCGTTATACCCATACCTCCTGTGTAATTGAATGGTTTTGGGGCAGTGATAATTTTTAGGATTCTCCAGCAGTTAGCGTACCCGTAATGGGTAGATTAAATACCGTCCCCTGCAATTAATCACTTCTTTGCAGATCATTTTTTCAAAACCTATGAATAAAAAGAGGAAGTTCAGCTGAAACTCGCATTCATGATACTCAATGGAATATTTATTTCCTGATTAAATTTCAAATTAGTTATGCTGATCCTCAAAACACAAGGCAAACTTAATCTTGTCAATTTATAAAATGGAATGATCTGTAGTGCTTTAAACGTTTGGGTATTGCCTCCTTTTGGTTGCGAGAGCACTTGATTCCCTGCTTCAGTATTGCCAGTACTTCCACAGGATGTCATGACCCCTGACCATGATAGTAGACCCCAGCCCTTCGGCTTGCTCTCCAAACCCATTCTGCCCTGGTTTTATGACATTTCTCGTCCCCTAGGAGATGTCGGGGCCTATTTCAGCTAAAGCAAGGGACATGTCCAAAAGGTCATCTGTCTAATTTTTGCGCCGGTTACGTCCTCATTCCGTGGACCACATGTTGGTCACGTCTTCAACACTGTCAGCGTCACGCAAGTTTAACGTGCTTGCTACTGTGACCCATTTTACTGTCGAATTTGTCCATGCTACCTACCCACGGGGGCCTTCAGAAACAACCATATTTCCATTTCATGTAAAAATGGATGCCTTTGGTATCTAGTCCTTTTCTTCCTCAGACATTAGGCAGATCAGTAGTACTTGGTTTTAATTGTTTTCATGGAACATTTGTCTAAAACAATAACCTAAACTTCCTGTAATCCACCATGTCCACTCCTCTTTTTCCACCCAACAAAAAGGTCTGTCCCGAAACCTTTGACAATGGACTAAGTGGTTGGGAGCTCGATGGCACCCACACCACTATCAAAAAAGCCTCAAGTGTAACAATTGGCTCCGCAGCTTATAACCTCAAACACCACTTGATTTTGAATATGTCACAATGCACCGAAGAAGTCCAATTTCGTGTTACCTTGTATACAGTACACTAAATGGAAAGACAGCGTACCAAAAGTAATTTTCTGACTGTTGTGAGGGTAAAGTGCGGGTTTTCAAATAGTGCCAAATGACTGCAGGGCTTGCAAAAGTGCCTTAAGGGGCAAGGATACAAAACTTGGTCTTAAACTAGGAGTCGATGCAATGCAGTTAAATACTGTAACATTGATTTGTGGTGGGGATGCCAAAATAAGCTTGGATTTGTATAAATGGAAAACTAGGAACCCAAAAAAAGCACTTAATACAATAAGACAAATATAATGAAGCAAAGTCTAAAGCCATGAAATATGCTGTTTACTACAAAAAAACAATACATAGGTGACACCACCATTCACTGCAATGTCTTTATTTCTTCTTTTCAAAGCATAACATTTGATTAGATTGAACTGCCATTCAAGGCCATCAGTTTTGACTAAGTGCACTACTCATCTCTGAGCTATGAGGGAAACGTCAATCAGCACTGCTATTATCGTACCAATGCTGAGAAGATGCCTCAAGAGGATTGACCTCTATGTCACCACTCGACTAATGACTCATCGGAACCACTTGATTCCTCCATGTTTGCGCCATAACTGACTCCTATCATTCACAACTAAAAATAAGTACAAACTACTCAGCTTTGCTAATTTGATATTAGGCTTTCCAGTAATGAAGCTTTGAGCTAAGTACGCAAGATATCCACATCAACTGCCGCATCTCCAAAAGACAATCCAATTTCCCACTAAATAGAAAGACAGCATTGTAAATCACACAGTAAACATTTATTATAAACATGTAAAAGCCTACAATGATAGCAAAGAACATTTAAGAGAGGAAATTATACCTTCGGAGAGGTAACAACATTAACTCTCGTAATCTAAAAGAGCAGACCTATAAGTGGACCGAAAACACCGCCGCTTTTCTTCAACTTCGAAAGAGGCGCTTCAAAGAGCGCATCTTTCACTGCATCGAGCGTCTTTTTAATGTCTGATAGATAAGAATTGATGATTTTCAGCTTCTTTGGCTCCAAATCTATCAGTGTTTTTGAAAAATCGGGCACTAATACACGCAGGGCAGCCACTTTTTTCGAATCCATCAACTTCAACACAGTATCAAAGAGGGGTATTTTAGACCGCAATATTTCAAGCTCCTTGTCTGTAAATATAGGTGCCTCAGTGGCAACTGTTGTCGGTACCGTAACGATTGTTTCAACTTTAGGCGCAGATGTAGGAGTCGTTGGCGGAGCAGTCGTGGTTGGTTCTGTGGGTGCATATTTAGAAAGAGAGGGCAATTTTGCCACGATGGCTCGCACTACCTCGGGATCCATGTCTGCCAAGTATGTGGTAGTGTTGGGCAATTTGTCAAAAACGACTTTCAGTGTGTTGGAATGCATCTTCGAGAGCATTTTGCCAAATTTAGGAACATGAGCAGTGACGTAATGAAGCGTTTGGGCATTCATACTGGCCAGAAGACCTGGAAGATTCTGATGGTTTTCGATTATGTACTGGACGAAGCCCGGGTCCTTGTTTAAAAGGATATTAGCAAAATGAATGGGAATGCTTGGTACAGTTGATAAAAGTATTTGTATAGTCTTAGGATCAGTAATGTTTGCCGGATCAGGCACCTCAGAAGCGGGCTTTGACGTCGTAGCTTCAGGCTCCTTCACCACATTATCCTTGCTTGTCACATAAGATATTATAGTTTGGGCGATTTTTGGATTGATACTAATTAAAATAGCATCAATGTTGGGTGTATTTGCTACCATCCAATGAAGCAGTCTTGCATCCATACTTGCTAGGATATCTCTGATGTTCGGAAGTCCTGCAAACATTGACTGTAATGCGTATGGGTCCATACTGGAGGCGTAGATACCAAATCCTGGCACGTACATCAAAGCTGATTGAAGAAGCATCGGATCCACATACATCAGAAGTTGATTCAAGTTTGGCATTTGGGTGAGTATCGATTGAAGCACACGTGGATCCATAGCTGACACCGAAGAGGGTGGGTAGGGCTTTTGAGGCTGAGGATACATTGCTTGACCGAAGCTGCCATGACCATACCCTCCACCCATTTTTGGATACGCAGGAACACCATAACCCCGTCCACTGCCCCTCTTTTGCCAGCCATTGCCATATTTGTTGCAAATTCCAGTTGGATCATAACCCTTCGTCTCTGCAGAGCCCAGGGCATAACGCGCTTTGCTACATAATTTTGAGAGAATATATAGTTGTGTTTTCGGCTTCAACTTCTTCATCAAATTAATGGCGTTTGGTAACTTTTTGAAAATAGCTGTAATAGCTTCGCCATCAAGGCTGGTAATCAGCTCATCAATGTTTGGTGTTGACTCAATGAGCGTATTCAGATCCTTAGGATTCACTTTGTCCAGAAATTCTGTGATCGCCTTTGCACTTGCTCCTGATTTGTGTGAATTGTCTTTGTGTGCTGGTTTCTGTTGTGCAGGAATTGTGGGTTGGTACATCTTACCATAATTGTCAACGGAATGGCAAACGTCAATGAAGCAGACAACTCGGCAGTTGCCACCAGTGCTGCAACCATAGCCATGGAATGATCCATTGACGCATTTAACATGTTGACACTGCTGGAAGTCGTAGAAGTCACTGCACTTTCCATTATTGCATCCACTCCAGTAGCCGCAGTTTCCACCGTAGCAGCCTTGCTTGCCCAGTGCTCCACTGCCCCACGCCTCTTGGATTCCCTTCCGTGGAAAGACGGCGTTTCCAAATCCATGGCACATTGACTTGGAACACGTGTAGTCGCAGACACCATCTCGACAACCGTAGCTAGTATTTGTACCGGAATGGCACACAGATGACTGACATGATGGGAATGTCGGTTGTTTTGGATAAGCGAGGCAACCGACTACGAGACTGCCGATTACAATGACGAAGACCTTCATCAAACCTAGTACAGTGATGTTTTGGATTTTGGCGTACGCTTTTATAGGCATTCAACGAGGGGTGTTCCATGTTCTCATGCACACCATTGGTTCGTTGGCCTAGTCACGCCTCACTCACCCCGACTTATCTGTCCGTCGGTCTCTACGACCTCACGTTTGGCTATGTTGGTAATGCAACATGTGCTTTTGGAAGGTGATATTTATCAGCGTGCTATGATATCCATGACATATTACACCTTTCTACATCTGGAACGTGTTAGAGCCAAAACTGTTGTTCCTCTAATCTAGTAGAATAATTGAATTAGCAGTACATGTGTGCTTGCAGGATCACCACTCATTTTCCAAGTATGGCCTTTATTACAAATGCATTACAGCATCTGCAAGAGTTGACGACCACCTCAATCTTGAACCACATAGTATAATCTTAAACCATATTGCCAATGGGAGGCTGAGTTTGATCCTTCTTACTATTTTCGGGGTTGCATTTACTTCTCGTAAATGCCTGTTGTCGGATAAGTGTCGCGATCAAAAACTCCAAATAGTTGTCTTAGTGAAGTACTTGGGGATAAAATCAGGGGTTCATTTAATATCTCTTAAAAACGCTGATGCGGTCATCACTGCATTCATCGTTCTTCTCCTCGCTTTTGAGATTTGACATTTGTTGCAGCAGTACCAAAATTTGGTGCGAGGGCCTCTTCAGACTCCAATAAATCTGCCTCCACGCTGGTGGTGGGGGATCTAGAACTCTCTTCAAACCATCATTCCCCCATATTTTCTTACTTTTACATATATTCGAATTAAAAAAAGACAGTTGCTTTAAAGACAACCGTGTGGGAACTAAGGAAAATAAGGAATGGAATTTGAACTCGCAGTTTGCTCATCCTGTTAAATGAACTCATCAATGCGCATGAAATTAATCAACTGGATTTTTCAGATGTTTGAGCACCGAGACATAGGACACCTGTCAAACATCGATGAGTCCAAAAGCTTTTAACAGAATTAGACTCAGTTTAGAGCTCCTTAAAACATGCTAGTAACTGCGTTTTGTACCCACCACCACTTTACGACCCAAATATCTTAAAAAATGGCCTTACCCTCAACAGATGAAACATATCCTACTAATCATCCAAAGCTTCAGACGCTCCATCTGACTTGCACGTAATTCGCTTTCATTCCTCCAGCTTCGAACGCATTCTTCAACACGGAAATAGCCAAGTAACGACATGGATTTCATGAGGACGACACCATTAGTGCACGGGCAGTAAATGAACAAGGTAATTAAATTTCTTCTCTCCAAAACTAAATCCACTCGTACGGTTTCGGTAGGGCTGCATGAATGACCACTTCAACAACGGAGCAGCTCTTTACTTTTATCAGCCTTGCAATTGGAAGAAATGGAAATCAAAGGATAAAGTGAAGCGTTGGGAGTGTTAGCCTTAGTAAGGTTTCAATACCATTCCCACTTAACATGAGATCTCATGATTCGTTTCTGCCTCTCATCGATATTGATGTCTTCTTTCATTCCATACTCTCTTCTAACGTCCTCATCTCGACAAGTAGGTTGCTACCTCCAATTGAAGTCACACACACCTCTCCTGAAGCTGCCTTTGCCCTTGGGTTCCAAGTGATCACATTAGTTCTTGAGCTCATTTATGGCTAGCGAGTTTTAGATAAATAATAATTTAGGAATTCGAACTATTACTGCGCCTGAGACTTTGTTCCGTTGTGAAAATAATATCTCCGCTTAGGTGCCTGTCAAAATTGATCATAGGGAACTATAACATCCCAAAACTTGCCTGAAGACGAGGTTGGTCATAATAATATAGTAGAATGGGTTTGGCTGACATCCAGAAGGGCTGTGGAGCTGCTATCATGACCCGAGGCTATGCTGCCTAGTGGAAGCACA